GTGTAGATAAATTATTGCTTGATACATCAATCCTCGTGGGAATGATACTTTACTCATTCACTTTATTACTTGTACAACCGGTATACTTGTCATGATCGCAACAATTATAATAGTAAACACAAGTTCGTTTGCCCAAAAACTTCTTGTGTAACTAGTTTGATGGACAGGATAACAAAGGTATAATAAAATAAATTATTATATTTAGTCAATATTAGGTGAATTAACAACATTTGATAGGTTTAATTCATTTGGCCCTATTCGTATTGTAGCCTTATAGTAAGGTAACTTGTGTTGGAATTCAATAGAATAGGACAACAAAATTTTCTTTCAAAATTAAGTCAGTCGTACCATCGCCATCAACCACCACCATTATTGCCATTGACTAGCTAACACCATCACCACCCGCCACTACCACTATGATGCAAGTTCTTTTGAAAAAAATTCTTTACCTTTCACCAAATAACAAATCTCTAACTTTATTCAAATTATGTTGCATACGCTAAAGTTGACAATCAATTTAAAACTTATTTTTAAAATTTTATTTGATAAAGATATAATTTTTTATTATGAAATTTTTTGTAATTTATTTTAATATATTTTATTTAAAATTATGACTTTATATTGTTTCCAAAAAGTTAAAATAGGAAATAATTTATAAATAAGTCAAAAGAAAAATTTTAAAAAAAAATTAAAAAATTATATGAAATCATGCTATAAAGAATAATTTTATCTATTTATATCATATCATTATATTATTTAGTTCCTTTCCATTACAAGATAGGATAACATAATCACATCGAATTACTTATCTAATGCATATCAAACACAACATATGATATGAGCTTATGAAACTCTTATCCTTTCTTATTATTATTCAAATCCTCTTATTCTATCCATCTTTATCCTATCTTATTGACCAAATGTACCCTTAGAAAATATGATCTCTTTCGGAGATGTGTTTAAATCTAAGAAAAAAAGATACTTGTATTAATTATGTATTATATGCACTGAGTTATTCGAAAAAAGTTATAATTGGAGCATATATTATTTAATAGTTTGCATAGAAGTGTGTAAAATGTGTAAATTTACCTAAGTATCATCAATGATTAATCTAAAGTTCCTTTGTTATTATTTTCTCTCATAAAGTAAAAGTAATAGTTGAAGATGTTCTTGATCAAACTATCTTACATAAATATAATATAAATATAATTGATGGCCTGTCACTTGCTAGCTTCAGTTATTAGGTTAGATGCTTGTTTATCATGATATCAAAGCCAAGGTGATTACGGAGTATAAATTTAATTCTCATTGCCCTACATACTTTTTAGTGGAATTAAATCAACACAAAATAGAATCAGAAAAATGAGCCTGTGCAATATTTATGTTTTAAACCTAAATGGCTCTTGTTTGAGGGAATATATTAGACAAAATTAATATAAAATCATTGAGGCTATTACTTTAGGTGAAATGATTGTTTAACATTGTGTCAAATGAATTATTGTATTCTATTATATTCTATTAAAAAAAATTAAATATTGTGAAATTTTTAGCATAGATAGGTAGATGGCCTATGCATTATTTATCCTTCAAGTCTAATGAATTATTGTATAAAGAAGCATGTTAAAGATATAATATAAAATTATTTAATAACCTAAACTTAATAACTTAAATTTTTTTGGTTGAATTCATTATTAAAGATTGTCAAAATAATTTAAACCAGATTAGCTATAATCTCACTTGAAGCTTTTGTGGTCCTACATTTAATTTTAGCATTGTACTTTCTCTGAAGTGGTGGAATTTGTAAGTTACTGCTACGGTTTCGGAAGAACTTTTCAAAGGATTGACTGATTCCACTGGTCCTAGTATTTATTTGTGCTGAAAAGTAGATGGGACAGAGGAATGGAAGGAATTGAAGGCCTAATGTATTGGCACTGTTTATACACTCAGCATTTGGTACGGTTTTGATGGGCCATACCTGTCTCACTTATGTTCTTTAACCGTTATGTTTAATTTCATATACAGCTTTATAATGCACAGTGTCATTTTTTCTTGAACATTTATCTAAACAAGGAGAGAAGAGAAGTTTCTGTTTGGACTTGATACTTGGACACTTTGTTAAGACTCTTCATTTGATTACTGCACAATCATATTTTGGAATGCTACATGTTAATGTTAATTCATGTCAGATCAAAATGCAATACGTGCTAGAGAGATATGGGACTTTTGACCCTATTAATGCAAAAAACGAAACATATCATCGGTTTAAATTTTTTTACAAATTATTTATTAATTTGATATGAGTGAAACGTGCATGAGCAATGTGTGTTTAAGTCACACATCACCCCATGCGTGATTTGTATAAAAAGTAAAATGTGTCTGTCACGTGTTGCGCTTGGCAAGATGCGCATACGGGATGTGCACAACTTGAACACGCATTGTCAGGATGCGCGTATTGCATTGCGTTAACTTTTGTACAAATCGCACATGGAGGTAATACACTACTTAAATGCCCACACTCCTCATATATGTTTTGCTTGCATTAGATAAGTAAATAGTTTACCAAAAGAATTAAACCGGTGATATATTTATTTTTTGCATTGTATAATTAGTCAGATCTGGTTCTTTAATAGATAATATTGTTGTCCTGCTTCCTTTCTCTGCCTAATATTGCTAGAAAAATTTAGAGTAAAGATGAAATGAATTTAATCTTTTATGATCAGTTACACGCTTGTGCACATGTTTGGTACAATGTTACAAGCAAATAAGAATAAATAATTTTTTTTTAAACCACGTGTATATTTCACGAGAGACAATCCTGTTCAGGTCCAAGATTAAGGCCTTAAACTCCTCTCAATAATGATATTGGAGAGGTTTGAATACATACTCTCATCACCACTTGCTTAACTTCCATGCGCTAACTGAACTATCATCATTTGGTTAATAAATAAAAAACATGATACCTAAAAGTTTGATTACAAACTTCCAAAGTTCCAGCAAGTAATAAGGTAGGTCAATTCATGTGAGTGATTCATGTGTACGTACTAAACATGTCAAGAGCATTAGCTGTTACCAGCAATGTTGTGAGAGGCTCAACCTTTGTGACTCAACGTTTCTGTGTCTCCTCACCATTGATTTTAACCGCTACCTCAACTGATTCTTTGACCATTCATTGTCACCCAACCACATTTTCAATTTTCTCACACTCTTGGTTAATGCTATAACTTTTTGCTCAGTAATAACGGGTGCTTTAGTTCTTTGAGGTTTATTACCCTATCTGTGTGGTTGATACAATCAGGTTCTTGCTTGTATTTGTTTTACATGACTACTACCTAGCTAGCTAAGAGAAAAATATGAGCTGATTAGAAGATGAAGTATTTTTTAATTTTTTAATTTTTTTTGGGTTTTAATCTCCCCCACGTCAGTCCTTAAGTTCATCTCTTAAATAACTCAAATTAAGCTCGAGAAACTGCTTAGTAAATGAAATTAACTTCCTAATATTTTGATTTGGTTCAGTTATATATTTCCCTGAAATAAAGTCTTCAAAAGATATATGAGTCACCTTCTTTGTTAAAAATATTCAAGTATAAATAGTAGTGAAGTCTTATACATGTCAGTAAAAAAATAAACAAAGTGAAAATTGTATAAGTGTGAATTAGACCCTTAAACTTATAATTTAAAGTTTTGAGTTGAGATGTGATATTAATTCATTTATCATGATTTATTATTTGACCCAGTGGTGAAAATAAATATTAATAGAAATTATATTAATATTAATTTTATACATTGAGGAACCAAAATAATGCATAAGTATTTGGATTAGACACTTGATGCCCCCTATATCTTTTGAGGAACTAATTTGAGAGTAATTAGTCATAGGAAAAATAAAAATTATGTTTTTGATAAAATAAACATAAAAATGAAAGCCTTCGTTCTGTTTTTATTTTATTTTCATCCTAATAGATCCACTTACTTTTCTAAGATGCCCCTACTGGTTTTAGAGTAAGGTAATGAAGAAAGAAAGCAGAGAATAAGATTAAATAATATATGAAATTGATATTAATTTGATGTTATATAATATAAAATAAATTACATTAGACCAATCTCTATTTATATTAATACTAAACACCAAATCTTAATTAAATTCAATATGAAAAATAAATCATGAAATATATAAATATATATAAACCAATTATAAAAGATACTATAAATTATTCTATAAGATATAAATCAAAATATTATAAAATATTATTCATATATTCTAACAATCCCTAATATATGTGTTTATTGGTATCTATCATTTTTAAAAGATTAACTTAATATTCCATATATTTTTTTGAAAACCGATTTTTGAATTCAGTGAAAGGAAAAATATTTTTTATAATTAAATTAAACATAAAAATAAAAGCCCATATTCATTATGTTTTTGTCCAATTTTCACCCTAATGGATAGACCTGCTTCTCTATGGTGTCCTTTTTTATTCATAGCAAAAGAAGGTTGGTGTCAATTTCTCAGCATTAACCACTGAAAAGGACAAGATTTTAGAAGCTTTTTAATCACGTCATGGGTATATGCACAATACATAAAATGACAAAAAAACATTTCTACAACAGCAGTAACCCATTGTTAGCTAATATAACAGCATTCATTTATCTCCCATTCTATTGTCACTTTCTCCAATTCTCTCCCACTCAGAAAAACCTGCATTAGCATTGCAACACTTACATATTTTCACATCATACCCTCTTTTACTTCCTTCTTAGCTTGCACTTTCTGTTCACCACTAATATTCCCCTAACTCAAAAGACTTATTTTTCTGTGTAGTAAGTAACCTATGATGAGCATGAAAACCAGTAACAGGAAAATGAGAAGGGGTTTCATTTGCCACTCTCAAGCATCAACAGCAGTGTGCATGAGTACCCGTGATCCTCGATCTGTTATTGTTCCTAGGAGGCTTGATACAAGTGTTTTTCTTGATGATACCAGGTTGATCAACTATGCTAAGTACTCCAAATTTGTTGAGTTTCCTAAGTTCAATGTAGTTCCAAAGATTAAGAATAGAGGGCAGGATCAAGATCAAGTGAATGAATCAAGGGAACTTCAGAAAACACCAACAGATAATGTCTTTCAGGTTTGTTAAGCTTACATATTCTCCTGCACTATGTGAGTTGCAATCATGCAAATGTTATTTTGTGGAGTTTCATAAATTGATCTCTTTTTTCTTTTCTGTTTTCACAACACAAGTTATAATGGAAATAGAGTAATTCTTCTGTAGTAGTGGTTCATAATTTTCAATTTATATGTTAATGACACAGTAACTTCTTTCTGTGTCTCGGCTACATTTATCTGATTATCAAGAAAGAAATCAAATTTATATGTCAAAATGAAAAGAAGGACCATAAACATGAAGAAGCTATGAAATGGAAATGGAGTTTGGATTCTAGACTGATTAGTCATAAATGTTGGTATTATTGGTTTTTTCTACTGCAATTGCTATAGGGTCAACAAAAATCTCCAGAGACTATTCCATTTTCCCTTTAATTGATTATTTGTTAGATGAAGAACAATGGCTAGGACTATACCACCAGTGGTGTCACAGGTGGATCCTGCAAGGAAACAAATGATCTCTATTATTTGTCCTCCTCTCATTTTTGTCATTTGCAGAGGTTTCAAGATTTTTCACGTGCATATTCCATAGACAAAACAGAATGATTATGTCCTTTTTATGCAAATGGGCGTTTTATTAGGCAATACAAATGGCATTATTAGAGACCATGCCGTTTGGTTTTGTCCCTTCTACATGAATTTTCATTTTTTTCTCCTTTCTAGTTTTCCCCCAAGGAAGGTACGTGTCATAGAGTCATATGGTCACATAGCATATTTTGAATTGTCTTGGAATAATGGAATCTCATATTCCATATGTCTTTAAGATTGCATGTGATACAAAAATTGTGAAAACTAGATTTCAAAAGGGATAAGAAAATGTTATACACTTCACTTTTACTCTATCATATTTGAAATGTTATTACCACGAATTTAATTTGAGGGGTTTTAAATGCAGGTGGTTGTGATGCGGGTTGCTATTCATTGTCAGGGATGTGCTGGAAAAGTGAAAAAACTTTTGTCTAAGATGGAAGGTATTCATCAATACTAGTTATATACCCTTCAGATTCACAGGGTTAAGATAGAAAAAAGAAAAACACTTACAGAAGTCATTTATTAATTTGACAACATTATACATTTTGGCAATCTGAAATAAAATATATATACATGAATATATGCTCTAAAAACAGTGGATGGATGTCAACATATAATGAAGAAGAATGGCCCATTTACTTTTTTTTTAGTAGCAGCATTTATTCTGCATTTAAGTAAGATTTGGGATTAAGCTAAATGACTTCAAATTATACTTGAGGTTCTAACTTTTATTTATTTTTTGGAGTAAAGGTTCTAACGTTTTGAAACCTATAATATCAGGAGTTACATCGTTCAGTATAGATGTAGAGTCTAAGAGGGTGACAGTGATGGGGCACATTTCTCCGGTGGCAGTCCTTGAGAGCATTTCAAAGGTGAAAAGGGCAGAATTCTGGACTGCTTGTTAAAAGCACTTCAGAGTTACCTTAAATGACAGCAAAGGAGATGCAGAGCCAGAGTCAAAAAGACAGAAAATTTGCCTTTGCCTTTGCACTTGTTAACAGCTTCATATGGTTGTGGACCTGGTGGTCCTCAATACAATAAAATTAGAGTATGGGGTAGGTAGTAATCTGCTCAAGTGACTTGGTTCTGATGGTGATGTTCAATGACAATTTAATGATATCTATCTATCCCCCATTCCCCTTTGAAATTTCTTTCTTTTATGGCATTCTAATTCTAGTTCCAAACTTCCAATGCTTAAAACTGTTGTGGGGAAAAGCTACTTCAGAGTATATAGGCCTTACAATCTCATTACACAATGTTTCGGTTGTTTAGTTTGTCTTATATATGTCAAATACAATAATCACTTGCAGTGCTATTTCACCATCATTTTATCTACTCTTAAAATAAATGGGATCATATTTGACAGAATAATTACAGTTAAATGTCCATGAAAGAATAATCAATACCTAAAACTAGACCAATTCAACAATATTACATGAAAAATAGCAACAAACTCACAAGTAGAACAAGAAAATTAGTTCCTGTGTTTCATGCTTTGTGTCCTCATTCTGGTGCCCCATGATCCCCCTTTCTGTCCCATACGTCTACAAGACCTTTTCTTCAACTCAACCACTTGCTCCTGCCACCTATTTCTCCATATCTCTTCACTAACACACATTTTGTTTCTCAACCCCAATTCAGAGTCATACTTTGCTCGAAGCATAGGATTGGTCAAAGTCTTATAAGCTGCATTCAACTGAACAAACATCCTCGTTGACTCCTCTTTCATAGAAGGATCATGGCACACATCTGGATGGTACTGAAGAGCCATTGATCTATAAGCTCTCTTTATCTCATCCATTGTGGCACTTCCGGGACTCAGAGACAACATCTTGTAGAAGTTTCCATGTGTGGTCTTTGTGGCTCTGCATGAAACAGAAAACTGCATATGTGAAGTTCTTTGCTGTTTAGTTGAGAGTGGAACGCATTGAAATGGCTTGGAAATGCTTAGGCTTGAACTTAAGGATAAAACAGCCATTAATGCTCTAATTAGTTGTAACTATCTTTGATCTATGAGAATGAATGTGGAAAATAGATGTGGTTCAATTATATTTATATGTGTTGATGTGCTAAGAAGGAGCCTAGATGTTTCTTTTGAATTCGTTATAATAACTATTATTTTATGTTAATTACTTTAGATTTCAAGTTTTACGTGTTGAATTATTCAAACTACGCGTTGTCTTCATCGTATATATCGAGATTTTATTATTATTAATATTACTGTAGGATGCATGCATATGCATTTATTCGTTATATTAAGATATTTAAAGAAGGGTTATAGACCGGCTAGTTACCCTCTCTTTTTACTTTATATTTTTTAGCCTACAGTGCATTAAAAATAATTCACGAATCATTTAATTATTTGATAATATGTGAATAAGACATTTTTGGGCCAGCCAATTAAATAGATGATAGGTAGTGCATGTGATTCATGCGTGGAATATGAACAAACAGTGAAGTGTAAAAGCAATAGCAAACATGCATGTTTGACTGATACATCAATGTATTTAGTCCAGCCGGCGGAAAAAAAAAAGACAATATTGACACAAATTAGTCGAACAGGTATTTTCCTAGGAAACAACCACTTCCTTCCTTCACGGACAAATTGAAATTGGGGTGTTTGGTAGAGAGAAAAAAAATTATGAGAAAAAATGGAAAAGAATAGTGTAACAACCAACAAGTATTATTATCAATGTTATTACCAATCAATTTCACCGTTACATCGATTATATTGATCCAACGGTTATATTTATTTTCATCTTTGTATGGTTATGATTGCCCATATTTAAAGTGAAAGCATTAAATATGAGAAATCATAATCATACAAAGGTGCAAATAAATATAAAGTATTAAAAAGGAGGAACCATAACCATACAAAGATAGAAATAAGTATAACCGTTGGATCAACATAATCGATCAAACGGTGAAATTGATTGATAATAACATTGGTAGTAACACTACTTGATTGTTACAATATCTTATCCTCAGGAAAATACAGAAATACAATTATTGGAGAAATGATGGGAAATTGATTTTTCTGAAAAAATTGTTACAAGTTTGAGTTTGCTGGGAAAATCAAAATACCATCGTCAGAATGGTATTCCTAAGTTGATATTTTCCTTCATTTTTACACTTCAAAAACTTCTCCATCAAAATTTTTTTCCTTGACAAATTTTCTCTATTCCATACCACATTTGGTCATTTGTGAATCTCATCTACCACTTTCCTAGTATTCTCAAAAAAAAAGGTCCACTTATCAAATATATAAGGAGTTTCGTGTGTGTCATTTAAAAGGACACAAGTTGTGTGCTTTTAGTGACTTACACAGAGTATGACCGGTTATACTTTATGTAAATCATCTAAAAAGACATAACTTATGTTCTTTTAAATGATATAATTTTTTCCATATATAAGAATCCAAAATCATTTTTCCAACCTCACAAAGACACAACAAAATGAGGAAGTAAAGAAAGCCGTTTTGTTTTGAAAATACTTATTGGAAAAGTTGCTTTTATTTCAACAAAATTCACCTTTTGACCCTGCCGGCGGTCAATGCAATTTCAGAAATAAATAAGTTGTATTTAAAAAAAGTTTATGATAAAGCAATCCAAACATTTATGAGTTTAGTGTGTGTCATTTAGAAGGATATAAGTTGTATTCTTTTAGTGACTTACACAGAGTATGATTGGTCATACTCTCTGTAATTCTAAAAAATTACTTTTTTATAGGAAAAAATAATAATTTTTCAGATTTATATAAAATATGACATGTCATACTTCGTTTAAACGACACTTGTTTTTTTCAACATTTATAATACATATCAGGGTATCACTTTACACTACTACAATTCCTCAAGAATGATTGGCCTAATTCTGACACAAACATTTTCACATGTGCATAGAGATCTTATATATGAAAATTAATTCGTGCGCAAATTTTTAATATAAAAAGGTGATGTTAATACCATGGAAAATGTTGCCTGTCACTGAAATCCCACCCCCACCATAATACAAGCATTTCATATTATCATTGTTTCTGTGTTGCCATTTTCTGTTACTTTTTCCTGCTGAATAGTACGAATCAAAGATAAATAATGTATAACAATATTTTTCTAAAAAGAAACTATTGGAATCAAATGTAACTAGTTTCATGAAGTATAGTTGAAGGTTTCCATGGACAAAGATATAGTTAAAGATGTATATAAATATATATATATATATATATATATATATATATATATATATATATATATATATATAGGTAAAGTGTGTGCTGTCTCGTTCAAAATTTTATGTCGCAAACTAGCAAGACCCGGAATGAGGAAAATGCAGAGAAACATATTCATTTAAATTTGTTTTGTTGAAAAATTATTTGGTGTGTTTTTAAAAAAAAAAAAAAGATTCTTACACGTGAATAATATTAATTAATTAGTTTTTGCATTTTAAAATGAATGGGTTAATGTGTATTCTAATTTAATTAATAAGATGAGCTTATTGTGATCACGACGAGACGAGACGAGCTTTTGATATTTATTGGTAGTGGACCTAATTGGATACTGCAATGTAGGCATTAGTATCTGGCTAAATTCCGTGATGAGTGAACCTAATAAATACATACATTCTTACTTAGGATTATAAAGGTTCCGTGTCTAACCTATATATATTTGGTTAAACCCTATTAGTTATTATGCTCGCTCCCATTGCCGGAAGAGTGTCATTTTGGAAATAGTTTATAAAGAAAAAGATTCTAACGATTAAACCAAAATATTCGCTATAACCAAAATATTCGCTATAGTTCAACCAGATGCGCAAATCCCTGACTAAAAGAAATTGATACGTGTGTTTTATCTATCATGCAAGTTTCAATCTTTATGATGTTTTTATTCTAAGAAATTCTTACCAATTTTTTTTTTCTTATCACTGGAAAGTTAATGCTGCTTTAAAACCTCTCACTTTTCAGCACAACAAAAATACAAAGTTCCTTGCCTTGGAGTTCATGTTAAAGGTACATCAAATAATAAGCAAGACAGCTAAAATCCTTCAAGGTAATTAAGGCAAAACAGTGTTATAATAAAAGACATTGAAGATGTCCTTATGCTAGATATAAGAATTAAGTGAGGATCTGCAGACATTTGTTAGAAAATGCAGCGAAACAGACAATTTAGACTAGCTGGCTTCATCTGGATTAGGAACACATCAATGCTTTAGATTTTACGTTGACATGGTTCTGCAGAGAATAAGGGTATCTAGCGGTTGTGTCTTTAGGAGTTGTATTTTTCTTGTAGAAATCAGCATCAACTAATGCAACTATTATAAGCTGTCTTTAGGAAATTTGTGAAGAAAAACATGCCAGAGGAGGAAAACGCCGGTCGAACGATTGCAAGTTAGGACAGATGCGCCAATCTTGTAAGCACAACCATCCAAAATTTCTGTTCATCAAACACAGCATCTTGTTGGAACGTTACCATGTTAAAAGTGAAGGCTTATATTTACATAAAAAAAAAAAAAAAAAAAAAAAAAAAAAAAAAAAAAGTGAAGGCTTATCAACAGATATATATACAGAAAAATTTTCTTGTTGGAATGTTAGCATGTTACGTGGAATTGAAATATTAAAAAATTATAATTACAAAGACTATAATAACACTGAAATAAATTAAAATTATAAAAATATCATGATTTTTGCCTCAAAATGATATCATATTCGGCTTACTGCAGAAATTTATCTGCAGTAACTGCGAAAAAAACGAACCCATAACTATATATATATATATATATATATATATATATATATATATATATATATATATATATCCAATTAATTAAGTGATTTTTTGAAGGGGATTAAAATTAATAAATTTGGTTAATTCTCTTATGCATTTACGATATATTGTATAACTTATCTCATCAATAATTATAAATAGGGAGAAGTGAAAAATCTTAATTTTTTTTTATTTTTTTTTTAAGCAGAAAATCTTAATCTTTTAAAATTTATAAGAATATTGAAACAAACACGACAACCTATTAAAATACCAAAAATCATATCTTCTCTGAGTAAATCTAAACCTTTAATATTTTAATTTCAAATAAATGATTACTTATATTACCTAAATTTTAGGCTTATGTTAAAGAACTATCTATGCTACCCATGATCTCTGCTGTAAAGCACTTTGTACACGTGGTAAGGTTCAAGTATCACGTGTTGTAGTACAGAAAAATAGAAAATGCTTGCAGCTAGTTAAATCTTAAGCCATTTTTTTGGTCATTGAGCATCACGAGTAAGTCATAAGTTGTTCAAATTGTTAAATCCCACAAGTCTAGTAACTCTAGTTTGCAGAATAATCTATGCTCGAAAATAAATTTCAAATAAAATCTGAAAAAGTACTTACATATTTAGTGAGATGCTTCCCTCAATAAAGTACTTTCATTTCTGAACAAGAGAAACAAAACGACTACCTCAAGCCTGTTAATTCGTCTTATCAAAATATAGATAGAATTTTGTAAAATAAATATATATGTAAGATTCTATTTACATTTAATTATGTTCAAAATATGTTACAATTTTAATTCACTATAGTTCAAAACTAATTACTTCTTGATTTACATTAAGAAAAAAAACTCTGTTTAAAGAAACTTCTTTTTGCACACGAGCATAACTGCCTACTTTTCTATTCACAGCCGAATGAGAGAAGATTTCCTCCTCCGTAAAAGATAATCACTATTTGGTGATTTTAATTATGGGGTTTGGATTTCTTTAGCGGCAGAAGATCACCAGCAGAGAGAAGACAAAATGGACTCCACTAGATTCTTTTTTTTTTTTTTTGATAACAGACTCCACTAGATTTTGTAAAATAAAAAAATGTTAGGCACATTTTTTGAAATGGATGACAGGAGATTAACAAATTCCCGTGAGTACGTGACATACGAATTAATTTTGCCTTTAATGTATGGGTTTTATTAATTTTATGTTAAAGGAAATAAGTTATCTCATGTCATAGAGATAAACTTGTGGGTTCCACCATATGAAAAAATAAAAAGAAAAGAAAAGAAAAAGGTGATACAGTTATCGAATAGTGTGTAGGAGAAAAAACTTATTATCTCATATAAGTACGAGAATAGTTTTTCCATTAATTTAGATGTCTATCATCATTTTGATGGACCTATATCCTAGACCTAGTAGACGAAAAAAAGACATAAGAATTTCTCCCATTTAAAATATTATTTGTAATTGTTATGGACCATATTCATATATCAATAATCTATTTAATAAAAGATTGAGAGGTTTATCTTAATAGCCAAATTACTAAAGGATCAAGGGATAAGATTCATTGATCCCAACAATGAGGTTAAGGAGCTAATAACTTGGAGATGTTCAAGGCCCAAATCCAGGAAGTAATCACTATAAATAAAGGAGGACCCCATTTTGAATCTACTTTTACTTCTAACAGTACTACGCACTCACATCACGTCTTTGTCATCCCGTATATACAAATGCACAGTAATCCATACACTTGTACAGAATCTCTCTCATAGATATCTGTATACAATTAACACCCATTGGATGTACATTCGCGGTTCACCTAAACCGAACAATTAAAAAAAGGATGAAAAGAAAGCATCTGCTAGCAAGTCATATTGAAAAAAAGAAAGAAGTAATAAACAGACACTAATTCAGTTACAATTGTTTTCTTGAAATTTTGGAACCCAATAGCTTATTTGTTAATTTAGTTTCCTACTATATTTGCTTTTGTTACTATCCTTTAGTTATTTAGTTTTGTATTTCTTATCGTGTATTACAAATTCAAACTGCATGACAAGGCTTAGCCTATTTGTGTAACAACCCACGTCTATTTAAGAAATCGTGATGTGCAGTTCTAGTTGGAATGAAATGCTATTCTCAGATACCATTTATTAAAGAAAGTGTTAAAATTGCGGACACTAAGGGTGGAACATAAACTAGATTAAACCAACAAACAAACAAGTGGAGAGTAAGTCCCTGCACATATTTATTATAAAAAAAACAAAATGGAGTTACTGCAATTGGAAAATATCAAAGCTTTAACTCTTTGCAACTTATTGCTTGCTACATTTGTCATGATGTCATGCTATTGCAGAAATAAGGATTGTCTCTATTCCATGGCAAACTTTTGAAAATTTTCTTGGTGCTCTAAGTGTATTGGACAACACCTGTCAACTCAAAATTCTAAAATATTTATCTTATGGATCCATCAACTTATGTGGTCTTTACTTAGTTTATTAGAATTACTGTGAGACTCTAGTATCTGAATAGACCGTGCTACTATAGATACATAGATATTTTTTTTGGAACGATTTGATTTCTGTTTGAAAATGCCAAGGCTGGGGTAATCTGATATGCAGCAAAAGCAGATTATAATTTAATCAAAGATAGACCAAGTATTGAGTATACAAAGTGCAAAATATGACGTACCAAAAAAATACACGTCTTCAATAGTGCAATGTTAAGATCCTAATTAAGTAAAAGCCTGATGGCCATTGAACTGCTTAAAATTGCTTTTTAAGTAAAAAAGCCCTTTTTGGGTTCTAGTATGTTAATGGTTTTTGGCCAAAATTTTTTGACATAGGTGTGGAAGACACCTAGGCCCAATTGTATATGTAATAATATTTGGAGTTGCCCAAAAGGATTATAGATATGATTTTTTATTTTTTTATATCAATAGATATCCAAAATTTTAATGGACCCAACTAATTCAATTTTACATTTATGCCTCTTTACTTTCTTCAAAAAATTGCAATTCTCAAAATTGAAACTCACTATTATTTGAACAAGTCAAATCTTGAAGACCCAACTAATTCAATTTTAAGTTTATACCTCTTTACTCTCCTCAAAAATTGCAATTCTCAAAATTCGAACTGTGAGGAAATGAAAGAATAGAACATATCCTGATGCTCTTCATGATTTAAAATTTGCTGATGCTGTGCTTGGTTGGACCAAGATGACACAGACATGCATTGTGGAATATTAATAAGCAGCGTTCTTTTGTTAAAGCTTTGTAAAAAAGATTTCTTGCACGGCACGCGCCGAAAAGTAGAAAGCAGATCAATGCAACCATGCCTTTCTGCAAACATGGAAACTGAACAGTTAGATTGGGTAGTCATAATTTGGAGCAGTGACATTCAGAATGTCACTGTTCATTAAATTTTTTACCTAAATGTCACGCGAATAATGTTATTTCCCAACATGCCACGTGGACAAGTTCGCTGAGCACTGTAACAAACTCTGTTTACTGATGTGTCACAATTTTAGTAGACACCAAGTTCGCTACATGAAGTAGCGAAGTTGATTGAAATATATATTCCAACCAAGTTGGCTACATAATTTGGCATCAAAACGTAGTCAATGATTTTAAGAAAATCTTTTAAAATCTTTATATTGAAAACACCCTTGAATTTAAATCAGTTATTGAACTAGGACCCATCATGTGGGAGTGCTACAACACCATAACATGTCCCTCCCTCCCTTGTGAATTATGCACATTAACTTGTCACAAAGGACCAATAATAATTATTATTATTATTATATCGCTACTCAAGTTATATATATATAAAACTTACATATAAGAAAAAGAGAGTACACCAGAATGAATATTATCTACTTGTAAGTCACTCATAGAATGAGAAGACATCGAACGGTAAAACTCAAAGAAAACATCAAAATAGTCATCTCTCTACTCTCAAACAAACTGGAATGAAACTCATCTCAAAAGCCTGAGAATGTAGCTACCAATAGGCACACAAGCAAGGACCAAGCTGGAATTTGGAATAGTGCAGATGCTGTGTTCCCTACAGATGGTGCTGGTGCTGGTGCTCGAGGTAACCCATTTACAGCTTCATCCACACCAGGTGCTGCAGCAGAAGATGTTGGAGAAGATTGTGGAGAGAGGACACCAACTAGAAAGAATCAATAATAATTCAATTAGAAACACCAATAATGTAGCTATTAGACATGCCCATAACCCTGTTTAAATTACTCACAATTCTTTAAACCAGTAATATAATTACCAGAATTTTAATTATCTGCATTTATTAGTAAACTCAATGGTGGTGTTGGGTAAATAAACAGGCATAGAGCATATAAAGTTAATAAACTTCTTAGGCTGTAAGGACCACAACTATATATAACATAATAATGTTTAATTTTAAATTATCCAGAATCCAGCAAAAGAAGAAACAAGACCACAAAATCAGATATGGTTTTTAAATTCGTATTTATTCAAGCTTTAAGGGACCAAACAAAAACAAAATTCCCTTAATAATTTGGAAGAAAAAAAAATTAAAGAGTAAAGCCATTTTGGGTCCCAAACACTATCCTCACTTTCATTCTTTATAAAAAAAATCTTTTTTAAAAATTAAATTGGATCTTTATTGAATTTCAGGGCGACCGATTTTGTGTTAGGGTCCAAGTGGGGCTTTACTCAAAATTAAATACAAAACTACATCTCAAGATTTTTAAATGGCATGGAAGGAAAAGTGGACAAGTGATAAACATACCAGGAGCTGCAGCAGGCGTTTCAGACACTGCAAAACAACAGACCCACATTAACTGACAAGAATTCAAAAAGGAAGAAAATTCCAAAGCAAACCCATCCGGAATTGATTTTTTTTCCAGTGATGGGTAGAAATCAAGATCAATGCGTACAATATTCAAAATCAAATACACACACACAAAACTCAAAAGGGTATGTCATATAGGACCATAATTTTGTCATGCATGTTACTTATTAGAGAGTGATGTTATATATATATATATATAAAAGACACAAGCAAAATTAACAGATTTTTTTTATTAAATAATAATTAATCCTAATATTGTTCCTTTTTTTTATTATTTATCTTTCTTAATACAAAGAGTCTCATGTTAGTTAATGACATCATGTTGAGATAATCCTGATTCATCTCATACATGCATAAAAATGAAAACTTTATTCAACAGAAGCGTCCAAAGCACGAAACTTTATCAGAAAATGCTCCACCCCAGAAACAAATACTCACCCCAGAAAAAATTAAAAAGGTAAAGGCAAAGAAGAAAACTGAGTAAACCCAAATGGGGGAATAAGGAGAATCAACTCACATCCACAATTAGTAGCAGAAGGAGCAGAGACTTTGCAAGCAGCCGGAAGAGAGGTAGCCTTGGTGACATTCAAGATCACACCAAACTGAGCACTGCTTTTGAAAGCTTCACAGAGACACGCTGGAGCAGTTTTAAGCACAGACTTCAAGCCAGAACAGCATGTACCTTCTGGTTTGGTTGTGGTGCTACCATTGGTAACAAAGGACAAGCAATCAGCCATGGTTAAGACCAGGTTTGAACAATCCACTGATGGTGCTGGGGAATTATGGGTTGAAGCACAGTGAGCAAGATCAACAACGGCCCAGATGGCCAGAACACAGAGAATGAGTGAGAACTTTGATGCCATTTCAGCAGAAAGAGAAGAGAGAATTCAGAGAAATGAAGAACTGAAGGGGAATATGTGTGAACGTTGGAATGTGTTGTGAGGGAGTTAAATAAAGGGGTGTGTGTGGTAACGTGGTGTGGAAAACTGGAAATGATGGATTTTTATTTGGAAATAAATGTGGTGATTTATTTATTTATTTTTTTGTGGTAGGCAAAAGATTGCAACTGCCAACTTTGCAATAGAGTTATCATGGAGAGAGAGTGAGTGCAAGTGATGTATTTTTTTATTTTTTTTGAGTAAATTTCATTTTGGGTTCTTAACAAAAAAAATATAATTTTCATTTTAGTTTCTTAAAAAAAAAATTATTCGTCTAGTTCTTAAGAAATTCAAAATTTTTGAGAGATTAATTTGGATCTTTTTTGAATTTGTGATAAATTATAATTTCAATTAAATGAGTTTATTTTAAATTTCTTAGGAACCAGACGCGTAATTTTTTTTTGTAAGATATTAAAATAAGGGTCATATTTTTTTGTTAGATATTCAAAAAGATATTTATTCATTTTTTTCAACATTACTTAATTACCTCTTTTAATGTGAATTGACTTTCTTAATATTTTTACAAATTTTAACTATTTGAATCTTATTATAAGACTAATCTTAAATGTGATGCGAATTAGAGAAAAATATTTAAATTTTTTCTAAAAATAATATATATAAGTCAAACCAAAATCTTTTTCTTTTTATTTACTTTACTCCATTACCATCGATAGAGTTACCATTGTTTGGTAGTGATGTATCTTTTTTAAAAGTTACTTGCCATGTGTGGGTGGGAGGAAAATGCAAGTGTAGACGCGTCTCTTTCACCATCTTCCAAGTATCACACCCTGAAATCAACAGATGCAGTAGGTGGAAAATATATTCCAGATATATAGAACACTCAGTATATTTTCTATTAAATATAGAAAAAAAGTAATCCATTTGTATTATCTTTACTTCTATGGTTATTTATTTTCATATTCTTATTTTGTTTCTTTTTGATAAAGTAATTCCGTTCTACCAAGATTTGTTCCAATATGTGATAGATGATGTGAGTCACAGTGACGTGTCTTTCTTTTAGAGATATTATTACTATATGGGAATATTCGGGTTCATTTTTTATTTTATTTTTTATCTTTTTTATTCTCATTCATAACTCTTCATCTTTCCTCGTTAATTCACAATTTTTTTTTTTTTTTTTTCTCTTTCTTTATTGACACCTAGCACAGATTGTGGAGCATTCAAAATGGACGGGTAGTGTTAAGCTGCCCAGCCAGATGTCCACATAATGCGATAATCTAAGCTTGATTAAACTTAATGTCAAATCAAATTTATTAGCGAAATATAAGCGATATATTTTCGAAATAGTGACCTAAGTGACAATTTTTTAGTAACTTTTTTATCCAAATATCATATGAATAGTATTTTTTACCAGATTATCATGTCATAATTTGTTATCACAACAGTGAATTTCGTAGCCAATAATTTTGTGACACGTGACCATATTGTATACAAAATTTATTATCACTGGTAATGAAGTTAGTCCAATCAACTTTTTTCTACGAAAGTGTGTCACATGTCACAAAATCATTAACAAACATAATTTGCTACCCGTCGTAACGAATTATGTCACGTGACAATCTGATAAAAAATATGTTTGCATTGTTATCAAAAAAAATATATATATGTTTGCATAATATTTAAATAAAATTTTTGCCAATATTATTTTGGTCGATGTTCCCATATTCTCTTTGGTGCACATCGAAAATCTCGCCCCTTTTTTTTCCAAAGCTAATAAATCCCATATATTTTGTATCTGTAGCATCAGCGTGAGATAAAATGGGAACATGAGACTTATCTTCCTCAATTTATTGTGCACTAATCAACTTCCATTTTTGAATTTTTCGAATAAGGAATTCATTTATAACTGAAATTAATATTATAAAAATCATAACTGAATCATAGATAATTCTGCAATTAAACCAATAAGAAACTGGTAGGTTCAACCGATAACCGATATCAAATTCGAACTGATTTTTTAATTAAATTGATTTTGTGAAAAATGTTTGAAATCACCATTACTTAGAATCAAATTTTAGATACAAAATTTGGTATTTACAAAGACTTATCATTAGAGCATTCTACTTATTAGTTATAAAATACTTTTAGTTTTATGTTGATTCAATCAATGAATCATTCACTCTGCTTAAATGACCGTCCGAATTTAATAATATTGATGGAGCAAAATAAAAGGAAAGGAAAAGATTAAAAAATGAGTTCAGAATAAAATATTTCGAGAATTGATTTTTTGTAAATGAAATTATTTATTTTAAAATTTAGAACGTAATAATTGATTGGACTTTAATTTTTTTATTTTTGTTGTATATAAAAAGGTCTATTAAGATTTGGTTAAATTTAAGTAGATTCATCTTAATTTGAATTTAATTGTTAAAACTTAAAATTGTTATTGGGGTAATAAAGTAAATTAATATAAAATTAATTCAATTCATGTTCTACTTATTCAAGACAAAAAATTAAATTTATAAATCAATTAAAATCACATTCTCATAAAAAGAATCGTAGTTACTTAATAGGAGTAGTTCAGTTGACAGCACATACTGAGTAAATGAGAAGAGAACATAGTTTCATTCTCATCAAACATATCTTTGGAAAAAAGCAAAAAAAAAATAACTATAATTAAGTCTTAATTCGGAATTAATCTTATGATGGGCTCAAAAAAATTAAAATTTGTGAAAATATATGAGAAAAATATAGATTTTGGATAAAAAAATTACAGTTTGTATAGAAATAGACCAAGCAGTGTCATTTTCCTCTCCCAAATAAACTTTAAAGGTGTTTGATAGAAGAAAAACATTTTTTATCCGATAATCACAATGTCCATGAATATGATAGAAAAGTAAGTTTCTCAAGAATATTATAAAAAAAATTGTTTGGTGGGCTAAAATATTAACGAGAATGTAGAGTTAATTTTCTTGATGCTATTACATTTGGTTGATTGTAAAATATTACTAAAATTGTGAATTGATGTTAATTATTTCTCAAAAAAATTATCAAATATTCTCTGTATGTGAAGATATAATTTTTCTTGATAAACATGAATCCCAAAAATCTGACTTTTTTGAAAAAAAAAATCACAATTCTCGTATAAAACTTGAATAAATTGAATTCTCAATCTCATTTTTCCAAAATTTTAAAAAAATTCCTTCTAGCAAAGGCTACTTTGGGATAGAATCTACTGGTTGGGGAGGGAATAAACTTTTGACCTCCTCTGCTTTCCAAAGTTCAGTATTGTGATCCATCAATTGTGCAATAAATGGCGAGTTAAATAAAGTCCTTAATCCAACTTTCAATGTGAACAGAAGACATGGCACAGGCCACAGGGCAACGGCCATTTCCAACATATTAATAATGAGGCATCCACCCGTGTTTGCCACCCACAAGCACTTTTGGATCCAATTATCTGCTAATTTCTCGTGTTGATAGCCTATAAAACAAATTCGGTGTTTATAAGATTTTGGAGACTCTTATTTTTTGAATTAGTTTTTGAGATAATGATCTCAAGATTTATAATAATTGATACTTTCATTAGGAGTTGAGATCACAGAAAAAGTTATCCAGATTAAGGTGTTATATCTCCTAGAAGAATATTATACTAAATACTAATAGGTGAATGAAGTCTCTAAAAGAAAAAGGACTATGATAGAGTAAAAGTCGTCGTGAACGTCGGCTCTTAAAGAAAATGATAATGTTATAAGTCTCATATTAATTGCCTATATAACTAATGTAATGTTTATAAAATTTTAGATATTTTCATCCATTAAGCTAGCTTTTTCGAAAATAAACTCAAAATCCATAACACTAGGACGCGAAGAAAATGTGAGAAGTACTTGGAGATGAACAAGTTGCATAGCCATTTTATTTTTTTTGTTTAACTAAGACATATACTTTTAGAAACACTGTAAAATAGGAAAAAAAAAGTAAGAGTGTTTTCACTTTTCATTAGAAAGGAATAAAAATGTAATAAGAGTTTTAAATAGAGCTCGAATATTCATAAAAAAAAAAAAAAAAAAAAGTGATGACCGTAGGTCTTTCCTAGTCTTCATTTCAAATGTGGTGTTGTTTTCTAAATTGAAATACTTATTTGGTTTTTATAAGGCAAAATGATTTGTCATTTGATTGGATTTAAGATTTAGTGTGATCAAAAATTTATAATTATGTATTATGAGTGGTATATAATTATAATATTAAAGTTATATTTTTTTTTCTCTTCAAAAATTTAATTATGTACTATCTTACAATATTAAAGTTATTTTTTTCCTCTCCTACATTACCCGAAAATTATCTGAAAAGTTACTAAGTAGAAAAAAAAATTAATATTATAACTATGTATTATTCGTAGTACATAATTAAATTTATAAAGAAAAAAAATACAACTTTAATATTATAATTATGTACTATATAATACATAGTTATAATTTTTTGACCGTAACAAACCTTAGATCCTGTTTTGTGTATCCACTAAACCCTTTTTATGATACTGATCTTCGATTTGAACTTGTACAATGTCACGAAAATAGATACTAAAATATAGACTGCAGTTATGGTAAGTGGTGACCGTAATAATGAAAAAACAACACACCAATTTGTTCAAAATAAGCTAGCTGGTGGAATGTGGAGTATAACTATAAAGTGTATAGGGAGGACCACTATCAGTGTCTCTATCAATCTTTAAGGTTCATATGCTCATACTAGAAAGCAGAGGTCCAAAGGGGTTTGAAAAGTCCTCCTTTGTGACCTTAAATTACCCTTTCACTTTGCTCACTTCTCGTGGAACTCCCCTTGCATCTATCAACCTTTAATGTGTTTACCTCTCTTGTGTCTATTAAGATCATCGTAATCAGACCACTATTTTCAGCTGTTTGACCATCACATCTAGCTAGAACCAAATCTTAAATATGGAAATATTTTTAGTAGTCCTGTTTGCATGTGCTTCTTCCATTGAGAGATGGATATGTGTATAAATAAATAAATAAATAAATTACTCTCTTCTCTATCATGTT